TAAACTAGGACGCTCGTCGGGGTGGAATCCGATACGAGCCGAGCGTTATAGATACTGCACCTATGCATTTGTGAACAAGACATCGGTAGATCAGGTTAGCAAAAGCCCGGATCTACATGATAATACATGTTATCTGCATGGGAAACACACCTTCGCAATTTCAAGTCTTCGCCAAGTCGACGAGTATGCCAGATCTGAGGTCACCATGAGTGTGGATCTCCAACCAGGAGAGTTACGAGGTTATTGGAGACAGCGGGATCCAGATCTATGGTTTAAACCCACAGATCATGAGGTTACTCCGGAGATCCAGAGGCCTAGCAGGATCGCGAAGTACCGACGGTCAACAACCATGGATCTACTCTCGTGGTTACTGGAAACACCATTCGCCAGGAAAATGGTTTCGCCAAGCCAAGATCACAGGCAAGATCCACAATGAGAAAGCGATCTTACTCTTAGATACCGGCGCCGAGGTGTCCATTGTGGACACCACCTTTGCTCGTAAGGTTTGCTTGCTATATCGACTCGAGTCAGATCCAGGACTGTGTAAGAATTGGTGACAATGTGTACCGGACAGAAGGAAGAACCCGGATCAAGGTGACTCTCGCTGGATCACTGGTATATTTCTTCGATATCTGGGTGGGTGATCTGACTGGCCAACAAGCTATACTTGGTATGGATTTCATGGTTCCAGCCGGGATCCGCCTGGATCTAGCTCATGGATCGATCAGTCTGCCGGATGAAGTCAGGATCCAGCTTAGCGGGAGACGGCAGACAAGGCCAAGATCGTAAACGTCGGCCAACACCTTCGGATCCACGCAGGAGAGTCGGTGGAACTGCCATTGCGCCTGAGGTCGTCGATCCACGACAAGCTGTGGGTCACGCGTGGGGATCAATGGGTGCCGACAATATCCGATGGACCGGGGAGGACGAAGTATATCTCGATCACCAACATCGGGGATGAGGTGTTGATCCTGCATCAAGACCAACGGATCGGGATCTGGCTGGCCGGAGATCATGTGCCACGAACACCAGGTTTCATCTCGATCGGCTCTCGTCGTTATATGGAGTGGCAGAATCTAGCATTGGAAACCACGACAGACGCTCGATCCGAAGACATAGAGATCAAGATCCCGCTTACACCCGCGGTGGAGCGATCCGAGTACAAAACTCCGCGTGCAATACTCCAGAGACCAAAGACGACGTCGATCCAGTCTCAGAGGGTCGAGGCGAGTCAGGATCAAGATATTCCAGACTACCCACCTTCGGACAAGTCGCCGTCGGACAAGTCGCCGTCGGAAATCCGACCGTTGGATCCAGCGTCTGTCACAAGTGAGGGGTCAGATCTGTCGCCTATTGCAGACAGAGATTCTGTATCGCATCTTGTAACGGTCAAGGAGGCGCTGGAAGATCCCGATCAGATATCGCCAGACGTCCGGACGACGGATCCGCCGTTGGAAGAGACTACAGGTGCAGTGGAGGCTCGAGAAGAAGAAGATCGGGATGGAACTGGGGTCGCCAACCAGAGGATCAACTACATTTGAGGTGTCAGGATCAAGGAACATCACCGTCGAAATACGGTGGATCAGATCTGTCATCAATTATGAGTGTACAATCTGGGACGGGACATGTGGCCAGTGATCCGTCGAACGACAAGTGCGTCGCGTCTATGTCAAAAAAAAAACGGACATGGATCCACCACCTGCTAATGAAGATCAACCAGACGCGTCGGATCTGGATCTCACCTGGAGCTCAGATCAAGATTATGATGAATGTGTATACTACCACGAAGGAAGTGATCTGTACGCGGAAGATGTCGACGGTCAGATTGCGGTACTGCCAGAAGTGCCCGTGACAACGGAAGATGCAAAGATCGAGGACATCCAGCTATGTGGATTTGATGATCAGACCCCACAAGAAATTGATCGACTTCGCCAAAGCGTCTGGAAGTTCCGACACCTCTTGATTGGCAAAGGAAATGCCCTCCCGCCGGCGACCAGAGGTGTTGTATGCGACATCGATGTCGGAGGAGCGAGGCCTATCGCCCTGAACTGTCGTAAGTTGCGGATCCAGTTCAGGGAGAAGCTGGCGGACTTGATCAAGGGCCTGTTGTCTGCTAAGATGGTCAATTACTCTAGATCACCATGGGCCTCCCCGATCGTGGTGATCATCAAGAAGAACGGAGTGGATATCAGGTTGTGCATTGATTATCGGTTGGTTAACAGCCTAACTCAACTGATGATCTACCCAGTGCCTTTGATCAACGACTTATTTGAAGATCTTTGAAGATTTGGAGTCGACATTTTGGTACTGTTCTTTGGATATGGCGAGTGGATTTTGGGTAGTGAAAATGACGGATCGTGCTCGTTTGATCTCGGCTTTTATCACCACTTTTGGATTATTTGAGGGGAATCGAATGCCTTTTGGCTTGAAGAATGCGCCCCAGATCTATCAA